TTAGCCACTGTCAGTTTCCCAGTAGGGACTCATCTCCATGGACTTTGTTACTTCGAAGGGAAGCGTTGCAGAGACACGCACTGTAAACGGTAAAGCAGCACATCCGACAAATGAAAGAGGTGCAAAGTCTGTGCACTTCATCGCGTATTATTATTATTATTATTGACGAGGTTACTTTGGAAACGAAACTGTCTCTCGGTAGATCATTATAGTTAAAAATAATAAACGGTAAAGTTATCCCTGTAACAGGCCGTGGAGGCCCATAGGGTTGTGAGACGTCGAGGCTCCCACATTTTCTCTAGAGAGCCTGCTCACAGATGGCGGTGAGGTTGTCAGCCTTACGCACCGGCCGCCCTTTACCCACAGGAAGATTCCTGGTACTCATTTCTGTTAGAGACTACCGAATTCCGATGTAAGGGCTGTACGGATTTTCGTTTTGGTCCCTAATCCGAATAAGAAAACATGATTCATGGAATGCAGTCTGTCTGTACGAACGTAAGTTTGAACGCCTGAACGGTTGGACGGAGTTTATTTGTATTCGGAATTCAGAAGTTTATCCATCACATGTCGCGGTGTTCACTGAATATTAAATTCCTGTCTCAAAGAAATTGGTGCCCTGCAAATGGGCTCCAAAGCACGAACAACCGATTTCCTCGAAAACAGCTCCAAAGATTTTGATTGAATTTCATTAATGAATTGAGATCATGTCCTGGAACAAAACTCCGTGCGTCGTGTGTTCAGGACAGAGAAAGTACGCTGGAATGCATGCATGCATGCGTACAGACAGAGACAGAGAGTGCGCTCCGAGAGACGCTGTTTCCTGTTCAGGAGCTCTGAAAACGAAAATACAAATCCGTGAAAACCTCAAGGTCAGTTTTTGTTTACACAATCACAAAAATATGTACCAGAAAATTAAAATAAATTTTCACGGTTACAAATCGGAGTTTGTTTTGTTGTTTTCTTATCGGACGTTTCCGCAAATGTTTCAGTTCGGCACGCGCTCATGCTTCCACGCAAAAGCTGCACCCTCGGTTATGTTAAAATACGCATATGCCACTCTTCCACAGACACTGGCTGCAGGTTACGAATGGTATTCACCACTCCCGGAGAATCTGCAGACTGCCAAGCAAAGCATCTCATTATGACGATTTATTCGAGGCAGCCAACCTCAATCATCCGTTGGAAAACGAACTCAAAATATGCATAAATCATTGGATGGTGATCTCAAAGCCACAGACCGACAAGGCACGAAAGTGAGCGTACAAGATGGTGAATATTATGTTCACTTCACACGTCATTAGCCTCTACTTTCTTGCTTCATGGCCCGCTGTACTCAGGCTGACGTTGCAAGAAACAGATTATTACAGTAACCATGGCAACTAGATCGACTTTTCTCTTAGGTAAGGAATGGATTTTCTGTTTAGAACTTAGTTTTACTGGAGTTCATAGGCCCCTTAGTGCCTTAACTTTCAATGCAATTGGCATTTGGAGGCAGCGCTATGAGCCCGGTGAACAGCTGCAAAACACACCGCCTCCGTCTTCAGGGAGGAAGTCATAAAGGAGTAATCTGTATGTAAGATTTGAGGTTTTCACGGCGGTGACTATGAACAAAGCAGTCTTCTGGGATGTGGCACCGTGTAGATGTGGTGTTAACCGACGTTTCGGAGGAACATATCGCCTCCAGCTTCAGGGTAGAAGGAAAATAAGAAAATCCTCAAGCGAAGAGACAGAGAGAACCGGCGCAAGTCTGCTTGCGATACGTTCTTCCGAAACGTCATTTAACACATCTACACGGTGCCACATCCCAGAAGACTGCTTTCTTTCAGTAACCTATATGTTTGTGCGTCGTATGACATTAAGAATAAATGTTTATTTATCTAATCAGCATTAACCCGGGTTTGTAGTGGGGATGGCATTTGTTTTCTGTGAGTTGTAAACTGAATTTTGTGCATTATTTATATGAACTAAATGCTTCAAAGCGTTAAGGAGACGGCCTCCGTTGTTTTGTCAGTGTGTCGCTCGGTGCCCGACATCGGGGCTGGCCGGCTGGAACTCAGCGCAGGTCGCGGGCAGCACAAAAACAGTTGGGACACTGTTGCAGCAGACTGGCAAGGAAAAGTTGACTGTTGTGGTGTGTTTGTGACACGGGCCTGCAGATGGCACTGCGGCCGCTCGACGGCAGAATCAATTTCCCACCAGGCATTCACAGCCCGAACAATGTAGACGTCATTTCCGGTTCGCATCTCTTGTGTTGCCCGTATTCATAAAGAAAATGATTGGAGAATCTAGTAGAAAGAGACAGAATTGGCTCGCAAAAAATTCGGCCTATATATATAAAACTGTTGCCTCCTGTTTCATGCGGCGGACCTAGTAGAGAGAGCTCAAAGGTACTGTGGCGTGTAGATCCGTTGCTAAGTGGTGAATCTGTAAAGAGTTGGCCGTTGCTAGGTAACGCCTACAGCATACACGAACGCAATAATAGAAGGGCTGTGTTTTATATGGTCCGCGTTGCGACCGTTTCTAGGCAACGGCTCGGTCAAAACGTTCCCGCGGATAATAATACGATTGCAGCAATCGAAGTATTGATGGGAACGGTGTTTTCTACGGATGTCCATGCCGAAACGATGTTTAGAGCTTAGTGAGTGCTCAGTTGAGAGTCAGGCTGTGAAGATAAGACTAGGAGGTTGTGTGAAGTAGCCGCCAGTCTTAGAGCTAGTTAGTGGGTTATGTGGAGACAGGACTTGAGAACGTGAAGCTTAAGAATCTCCACTGTTGAAACCGTTACCGTGAATCGGCTGAACACACGGAAGGCTAGGAAAAGGCTCAGTAGGTGCTGTGGTCGTTTGTGGCGAGCGGTGGAACTGTAATTACTTACGAGTGGTGCGTATATAAGCGGCCAATACATCGAGTCTCCAATCGAACTCCCGTCTATAGTCACTCATACCCATGAAAATATATTTAATGTGTACTCTTAAGCCGCGTCAAAAGCGGCCTCCGTAGTCTAGGGGTAACGTTCCCACATCATGACTCTAAGTACGCCGGTTCAAACCCGGCGGAGGTCGTGGAATTTTTAAGGGCGGAAAAAATTCAGGGAACAAGTCCTCCAGGAGGGACTTTAAGCCGTGTGTCCCGTGTCGTAGATTTACGGCACGTAAAAGAACCTCATGTCTCTAGGAGACCTCTGAGCTAAATTAGGCAATAGTTTCCCGCCCAAGTAGTTTCCAATGCCTCTGGTAGATGGGGGAAGTATCAAAGGTACCGAGGGCCGACCTCGTTGGCTCAACGGGGCTGATAGCACGCACCAGTACAGGTAGGGTATGGAGACTGGTAGAATATCAAAGGGGGACGCACAATGGACCAATAACTGGTCTAAGTGCATGGGGAAACCCACCCCCTCCAATAATAATAATAATAATAATAATAATAATAATAAGCCGCGTCAAAAGTAGGTTCACAAAAATGGGGTCATGGGCCTCGCGGGGACGGGAATCAAGAATAGCTGTGCTGGCGAGGACCATTCTGGCGGTTAGTGGCCGGCTCCAACCCCGTTAGCCTAGATTCGATTACAGGTCATACCATATGGGATTTGTGGTGTACGAAGTGGCACCAGGTCAAGTTTTTCTCCGAGTACTTCGGTTTCCATTGCCAGTTATTTTCCTGCAGCTCTGCATTCATCAATCATCTGATCATCTACAGATCTACAGCAAGTTGCCTAGACCGAAGCGCTACAACATAGCCTCAGCGGCCCGTACACGTCACCTGTTGGGTGATACACAGAGCAAAGAGCGTGGACTCCACAAGGCGAGAGCAAGGGCAAAATGGCACGACCTGATTCACTAGAGAAGAGCCCGATATGCAGGCGCCCCACCCTGTAACTGCTTCAGCCACTGGAAGAGCATATCAACATGGAGGGTGGAGTCCAGTTGGGTCCGCTCGGCACGGCGGCCACTGACTGGCCTATTGTACCTGCCCCGGGTGATTATGATGATGGAGAATTTGGTGGAATGAAGATTGATAGGGGAAACCGAAGTACTCGGGGAAAACCCGCCCCAGCGCCACTTTGTCCACCACAAATCCCACTTGACACCCGGTCGCCGCACTTGAGCTATGGCGCGGCCAGTATCAACATGTAGCGGGCACAGAGTTGTAAAGAGATTCACTACAAACTATCCCATTTCTGTGCACTTTTAATGATAATTTTCAAATGTTTCATTTTCAGTTCCAAATTTTACTGCCTAAGTATTTAAGTGTTAACTGAAAATTCAGTTTATGCATCTAAAACGCACAAGGACACAATGTGAATCCATATTGAAATTAGATGCAATTCAAGAACTAGGACTAGTATCACTGTACTCCTGATGATGGCTCAAAATAAGGGCCGAAACATGTAGCGTCAACAGCAAAATAGAACAAATGTTGATACAGTAGTGTCTGTTGTGTAGTCCTGATGCTGCCAGTGTTGGTGACTAACCACCTTGATACTTGACTCCGTACTATTACCCATATGCACGGCAGCCAGGACTGATAAAGCGATGCATTTGGCGTGACATATTGCACGAGTGGAGGAGACTCTTAGGGAGAACCCGGAAGGGAGTGACCTAAGGGTATTGTTGAGAGGATAATATTAAAATAGTTTATAAGGAAATAATGTGGGAGAGTGTGGGCCGGATTAATCGAGCTGCGGGTGGGGTTCTGTGGCTAGTCCTTATGAGGACTCCTCAAAAGGAGGTAAACATCATGACCAGGTGAGCTACAGTTAGCTTCTTAAGCAGGATTCTGCTCTGTTTCTGTGACATCTTCTGATATGCGTTATTGTCAGGTAGTGACGCAAATCATTACGTCTTCATTACACAATCACTAGAATCTATTTTCAGTGTAGGATGAGACGCAGTGCAGCCTGCTCAGGGTGTCACGTGTCCTCAGAGACGTTTCGGACATAGCACGGTGTTGCCTCTTGTACCGCTGGCTTCTACAGGATGTTCCGTATCTGTGTGTTCCAGCCTGCAACAGAACCTACTTCGGGGACGTGGGCCGCACTTACGACCTGGAGATTAGACGCCCCCGGGAGGATAGACTGCCCTTCCTGTGCCACCTCAACTTCACCGCGGGGGGCAAGGATTTGGGAGACCTGGTGCAGGTAAGTGAGTTGGTGGCAAGTCCTTCATGCGAGGAGCTGTGTGTTGTGCATGATGTCGCCACAGCTCTGTGAGGAGAACTCTCTTCTGGGATGTGACATAATTTAACAGACGTTTCGGCAAGACATACTGACTCTGTCTTTAGGATATGAAAGTAAAGCAGCTATTCAGCAAGAGGTAAATAGGAAACGGATTTCTGAAATGCTTTGCCTACGAAATGTAAGCGACATTCTGCTGAACTACAGGGTGTTCCATTTATTCAACAATGGTCCTACAGCCCTTTGTTGGGCCCTGGCCTCTTCTTCAGTTTCGTATTCTTTCTTACACAGACGGTAGAACTCCTTGGGTGAGTGCTCAGCCCGTAACAAGGCCGCAACCTGCACACTGGGCAACACAAACAGAATAAACGCACACAGACATCTATGCCTAGAGTGGGATTCGAACTCACGATCCTAGCGTCCGAGCGAGAGAAGACAGTTCATGCCTTAGACCCCGCGGCCACTGTGATCGGCACAGGGTGTACCAGATCTCACAAAATCCCATGAATGCAGTTCAGGTTCTCAATATTAGCAGCGAACTCTTCCCCTCTGTAAATACAGGAGTGAGCATAAAAATGGCCACGCGCTTCCTGTTTCCGAATGCCGTTTCTTTCCGGAAGAATTCGGAACCAGTCGCGGACGGTCTGCGAAACATTGGCCTTTCGGCTTGGTCCACAAGCCGCACACAACTGTTATGTTCTTTGAAAGCACGTAACATGGGAAGAGACAGTTTATCTCGTGAGCTGATAACTCTCCCTGCAGATGGGCCTGAAGACAAACTGTATGAACCGAACCAGTCTATTGAGGCACTAGACATCTGATATGAAACGCAAAACCCAGCGCCCCACAGTCCAATGACATTTCTGTTCAATGCATGTATGTGGGTTGTGTTCTAATGTGGAGACTGTGAGTAGCACGTACAGTGTACGGTTACTTTCCTGTAGGGGGGTTCGTAAAGTGAACTCAAGTACAGCAAACCCTCGCTAATCCGGACCGAAATATGGAAAATGAAGAAATGTCTTCACAGGTGAGTACACACTTTAAAAGACACGTGGGACTTAGGAGCAAGAGGACTTTCAGACTGTGTTGAGGGCAGCTGGAGAGACTGAAACCACACAAGGGAATATCCAAGATTGGCTTCAGCTGGCTGAAGGAGACCCTTGAACTCAGTTTCTGACAGAGGAAGAAATTGCTGCGGTGTTTTTTTATTGAGCCGGGATAGCGTAGTCGGTATAGCGACTGGCTACAGAATGGACGACCGAGGGGTCGGAGTTCGACTCCCTGTAGGGACAAGTATTTTCTCTTCTCAGTGTCGTGCAGACCGGTTCTGGGATTCACCCAGTCTATTATCAGTGGTTACCGGAGGCTGTTTCCCGGGGGGTAAAGTGGCCAAGGCGTGAAGCTGACCACTCACCTCCCTGTAACTAGTGCCGAGGTCAAGAAAATATGGATCGGTACATCTACTCCCCCATACGCCTTCATGGCGCAGCGCTTAAGTAGTTAATAACAGGGACAACTTTACACGTCAGTCCGTCTCCGAGCAGAGACAGAAGTGACCTTCATAATACGAACTGCAATTGAGGCCCGGGACTTAGTCTTGGATGTCATGGCCTGCGAACCACTGTTGGGTCACCAGTTTAGTATAAACATGAAGAGCACTGCCTTCTGAGATGTACAGCCATGTACTCTGATGGAAACACACTGATGTTTCGGAATAATTTACCGTCGTCAGGGTCGAAGTGTAAGCAAAGCAAGTAATCAACCTTAAATACTCTTGTGATATAATGCCATGTACCCTGATACCAGCGTTTCGGAGTAAAGCAGAGGAAGCAACCAGTTTGAATCAAGAAGATCACAGAAATTTGTTGTCCGCTTCTTTCAGTTAGTGTTCGATCGTGAGGATGGAGGCGGTAAGTGTTTCCGAAACGTCCGTGAACTTCTACCGGACTGCACGGCGTTGAGAACTTCAGGTCTGACGTACTGCGAATATGCGTGTCAGTTCGCTCTTGCATTGATAGTGACAGGGCCGCACGTTCCGAACTCCTGAAGCCGTTACCGACTGAGCACACAGATGCTAATAATGTACATCCGTGGGGTCAGAGGTCGGCTGCGTATGCAGTGTGGCGCATTAACCAACTGATCTCGCCAATGGAGTTAATGGTGGCCTGACTGCAGAACCGGGCGGACGGTGTGACGTGTACATGTTCTTGTTGAGTGTGTTGTCGGGTCTCTGCGCAGTGTGGATAACAGTATTGCGACGTTTAGGGAGTACATCTTGTCGCCATCTTCAGGGTTGAAGTTAGTATAATGGTTGAGCTTTGCTGTTGTAAAACTGCCTAATTTCAGAGATTTCATTTCATTGGATTGATCTGGCTCAGGATAGGGACCAATGGATGGCTCTTGTGAACACGGTAATGGACCTTTGGTTCCATCAAATGCTGGGTAGCTGCACAGTTGGCAGCTTCTCAAGAAGGACCCAGCTCCATGAGTGAGCGAATGCGAGTTTCTTAGCCAGAAATCCATGTGTATGTCAAGTTGCCGTCCAGTTTTGCTGACAGTGAAAGGGGTAAGCTTGCTGGACTAATTCTGCTGATTGTTACGAGTCAGCTGGTGGCCGCGGCTGTTGGCGCGCTTCCGAAATGTTAAATGACATTCAGGAGAAACAGACATAATTAACCTGTATATTTGTTTGCAATGGGATGTCAGCACAGCGTGGCGCCCAAGTAATAACATTTGCAAAGGCCTGTATTTACTGTGCTTTGGGGCAGGCCCCAGTGGGGCACCGAACACAGGCCTTATGTATGCGTGTCACACGCGACGTACTCTTAGACCTTATCACAAATTCATAGGCAATTAGTAAAGTACATGTTCCTCGGCTATTACTAATTCTCAAAAACAGAGAAGCCTCGGTCCCCCCATCCACGGTCGGCAAGGCAGATCGGATGTCATTAAAACAGGGGTTCGCGAAAGGGCACAAGTCCCTAAAACTGGGAATGGGTAAACTGTAATGTTGATATTGTTTTGTGGTCTTTTACGATGCTATAAATAAATCAAACTACACAAGTCAAAATGTAAGAGTATATATTAATGTTGAGCTGGAAAGATTTTGAAAATTGGACGTCATGATGTATAATAGGTAATTACGCGGTATTTCTCTGGAGGGACTGGGCAAAATCACGAATATTCTCAATCAGTATTGACTCGGATGAGATTTAAACCTAGCACATCCAGAATACAAGTCTAAATTTAATAATTAGAAGGGAACAAATACTTGAAAGCAGAAATACCCTTTCTTCGCCCGGGATAAGACAGTTTCCATTGTCATTATCACATGATTATATTAGCTCAGGGGGGCTACTCCTTACAGATCCTTGCCTGATGTTCCTAGTGCTTCAGGGTGACGGGTCAGAGAGCTTCGGCGCTGCTTCTTCGCTTCGCATTTGTGAATCTCTTGACTTTGTATAAACAGTAACGCCCTTCCCTTCACGTTCATGTCACGGACCCGCAAAACCGTATCGAAAAGTGTGGATAACTGCTTGCGCCCTCGAGCCCTTTATCGCGCACAAAGCGCCTAATAAACACCTTGGAGCTTCAAGAGAGACAGCAGCAGTTTTCTGCAATGTAGCTACAACTGCCATGCGGCATCAATATTGGACCCAACGTGAACAGCCTCGCCTGCTTTTTCGCGGCTCAGAAGATGCAAGTAGTTCCCCAAGCCTTAAATTCAGCCAAATAATATTTTTAAACATCCACTTCGTACCTCACAGGAAACACATTACATCTACGCTACAGAGCCCAACCGGATAATGCTGTTTGGGGAAACAGTTGCTGTTTATTGTGACAACCATACGGAACACACAAATAAACTGTGTGGGCAGAGCGCAGAGACTTTATATATAATTTTTTATTGCTGGTGGGACTAAGTCCCTTGTACTGCGGCCACTTCTGGCCTATTGTACCAGCCCCTGATGATAGGTGAGGGTGATTCTGGAGCAATTGAAGGAATGAATATTGGCAGGGGAAACCGAAGTACTAGGAGAAAACCTGCCCCAGCGCCACATTCTCCACCACAAATCCCACTTGACCAGACCCGGGATCGAACCCGGGCCGCCGCGGTGGAAAGCCAGCAACTAACCGCTTGAGCTATGGCGCGGCCCCTGACTTTATGTACACGTATAAGAATTCAGTCCGTACCTCACAGGAAACACATTACGTCTATACTACAAAGCCCAACCGGTTAATGCTGTTTAGGGAAACAGTCGCTGTTTATTGTGAGAACCACACGGAACACACAAATACACTGTGTGGGCAGAATGCAGATATTTGTATGTTCACACAAATGAAATATAGAGTTACCGCTACCCTGTAAAGGGATAATTGTGTTAGGAAAGTAATTTGTATAAAACTGTCTGAATGCATTAAGCTGACCATAACGGAACCCACAGGAATGGTATCTTTGCACACAATTAAAACACGAAACAAGAAAATTGGATGTAAGCCACAGAGTGAAGTGGCGAGGAGAAACGCACGGAAGCACTGATAAATAGTGACGGGTGAGGGAGGCATTGTTTCAGAACACTGCACACACAAGGAGGGGGAAAGAAACAAAACACACGATGCACGCTTAACGCTGTACAGGACATTAGTAACTACATCAACCACTCACCTTATCACACCAGAACTCTGCATTCTGCCCGCACAGTGTATTTATACGATTCTCACAATAAACAGCGACTGTTTCCCCAAAGAGCATTAACCGGTTGGTCTCTGTAGCGGAGACGTAATGTGTTTCCTGTTAGGTACGGACTGAATTCTCATATATAAAGTCTCTGCATTCTGCCCACACAGTGCATTTGTATGTTCCATATGGTTCTCACAATAAACAGTGACTGTTTCCCCAAACAGTATTAACCGGTTGGGCCCTGTAACGGAGACGTAATGTGATTCCTGTGAGGTACGGACTG